ATTCCCGCGACGTCCATGGATGGTTTCATGAACGACGGCGTTTCAATTGTCTTAAACGTAAGCGTGTCCGGCCTTTCTTTCGGTTCGCTGAAGATCGACAAGGAGTTCGGTCGATTGTTATTGTCGAAGCCAACTGGCAACGAATTCGGTCTATTCGGTCTCGCAGCGGCGTTCACCGCCTCGCGTTTCGTGCTTTCAGCGGCAGCAGCCGCAGCTGCGGCTGCAGCCGCGAATTGATCCTCCGTCGGAAGCTCTGGCTTTATCACGGGTTTCACATCCTGAGGAGACGCAGAACGGAGTCGACAAACTGTTCTATGAGCTTCTAGAATAAACTCGAGCTCGTCTTTGGCCTGCTGTAACTGCTGGATTTCTTCTTGCAAGCTTTGTTTCTTTTGTTCCAAACCCTCAGTCTCCTATTAAATAAATTTACATCGGTTAATGCAATAGTAATGATTGGAATATTTTTCTATTTAAATATTTTATCACAATTGTTTCTTTTACAGAGACCCAAAGCTGGAAATAAATTTCACTCACTTCTAGCAGGGCATTGGTATGATCCATTCTTCGCTTGCGACATCTAGCTGCTGCCATCTTATTTCTCTCCCTGCGTATCTGTCTTCGTTCTTCCTCCTCGGGCGTCATCCCGATCGGCCTGGTGGGCCTTCTACCACCCATATTGCGTCTCGCTGGCTGCTGTGGCTGTGTCTGTTGGCTATCCACGAGGGTGGTATTAGCGGCCACGGGGGCGACGACTGTGGTGGTAACGACGTGATGCGCCGCCGTGTTTTGCGTTTGTGCCGGCGTCGGTTGCGAAGGTTCCACCAACGGTGGCACGAACCCTGCCTCGCGACTGTGCGACGCTGGCTCGCTGGTCAGCTCCAGAAAAGTCTGTTCGATGCTTCGCAGCGTCGTTGGTGTCAACGTCGGCGTCGTCCTGGTCGGCACTCCGCTATGCAGTCCGTCCAGTGAAACGAGCTGTAACGATAATAATTTCCCATGTTAATTCAACGATTATCATAATTATCATAATTTTTTCATTTTTTCACTCTTCCCTAACTCGGTCGATAAAACAGTACAACAAGCGCAACGAACGCCCTCAGGCGCCGGATCCGAAATATTTTCAGCCGTTCCCTTTTCGAGTTCTACTTTATTCGATTATCGCAAGAAACGAGTGATCTGTATCTCACTTAGGAACCAGATTAAACGATACTATAAACCTTCGACACCGCCACGTTCAGATTATCCGTCGTTTCGACACCTGCACTAAAAATAACACTGTGTTTGTCTAAGCTGCAAAAAATATAAACTTACTAAGAATTGTTCAAACATTGTCCCGCGAGTTACGCGAATCAGTATAAATTGAGTAAAAGCAACGAGGGAAATATTGTTTTTCAGTAGCGACAATAGCGATACACATGCACACTGGCGCGCGAGAAAGAGACGAACGAATAGTGCGCAGCTCGATGACCATGCAACAACACAGCGCAAAACGCGGGTTTGCCAGGTGCGGCGAGATAACAAAACAGTTAAGAAACCGATGTTTTTCGTCGGTAGCCGTGGAACGCGCGATTGCCTTTCAAACGAATTGCGTATTAGATCGCCGCTCGTTTATTACTCGACCGGCCACGAAAAAAGTTCGTCATATTATCGACCAAGCGCTTATTGGGCAATGAAACCGATTCCAACGGACGCTTTGGTTGTGCGGAAAAAGAGGGCGTTGTGCAACCAGCAAGGGAAAAAACGAGGAAAAGGAAAGAATACTAACGGAAAGGTACGCAATACTTCCATCGTCGTTATCGTTTCCTTCTCGCGTCGATATCGCGGACTGCTAATCCAGCGTGATGTTACCGATAAAAATATCCGTGATCCAATAGCCGATAAGCTATCGACGTGAACTAGATCGTCTGGGGGTTGCTCGTTTCAAGGTGTACGCATGTTTATCGGTCGGTATCATCATCGCTAAAATTACGGGCGAATTATCGCGATGTTCCTCCTAATTATCCGCCGATCGACCTCCCTTCTCCATAATCTTCGATCTTGAATTCTGTTTACACGTTCGAATCTTGGTTACCTTGTGTCCAAAAATAGTAGTGGCGGGCCTTTTAAAAGTTGCAGTATTTAACGACCTTACGTGATAGTCGAGCATAATTTTAATACGGCTCTCGTAAAGCACGATATTAACAATAAGATTTTAATCTTTCGGCATTAAGTACGAACACGTGCGCGGAATACGTTTATGGAAGTAGAGTAGTACCAGCAGTGGGGCGCTGCCGTCGCGCGCGTCGCAGTCTGTCGCCACGGCTCGTCCGAACACGCAATAAAATCGAAAGCATCGATTTAGCTATCGGGAAACGAATCGGATACGTACGCGTTCCGCGGCGCGAATAGAAACAATCGTGGTGGAAACAATCGGACAACCCGATGGATTTCATCGACGTTATAAAAGCGTGTATGTTCCAACTACGGACGATATTAATGACTTGGCTCGAATCGCAGCTCACGTAGCGACAACCTCGCGGTCGCCATTATCGCGTCGACCAATCGGCAGACGGGGACACGCGCGACGTATTATACCCGACGCACACGTTTCCCAGAAAGCACAAAAGGACGCAGGAAGGAGAAGAATCGCGTCCTTCACTCTCATAAGGAGACAAGACAACGACACTAAAGAGCCGAGGTCTATCATTTCTAAAATTACGATCCGTTCTGATCGTTAACGAAGGCCGATTCGCGATAGATAGCACACGTCAGAGGAATTGAACGATTCCCAGAGTTCAAGCATCATTGCACAGGAATTGCACATCGAGATTCTTCGAATGGAAAGATCGTGATAGATCGTCGGTGACCCCTCGCGGTTCTAATCTCATAATTAACTCAACGTCATGCTCCGCCATGTTTAATCTTTTTTTTTTTTTATTAGATAAAGTACGGAGTTCGCTGAACTTTAGAAACGCGTCGTAGGGGATTCGTGTTACAACCGTTGTCGTCGTCGAGGTGACATTAACTTTAATATATTTCCACGTTAATTTCTTCGGTCGTGCAACCGTCTTGACTTCAACGGAAAGGAGAACCGAGATCAATAACCTCGTGGTAATACGATATTCTAAATGTATTCTATATTGTCTGTTACAGCGTACAGCGGTGTAATCGGTTCACTAGCACACCTGACAAAACGCAAGTACCGTGAATTAAGTTTCAACAGTCTGGCATCCGACACCCACTTTTAAACGAGAATTTATTATGCATGTATTTATAACGCGATTACGATTCATAATCGCGGGGCCACCACACTCTCGCGTGTGTCATCGCTAAAATTACTTAGCATACCAGCGGGTATGCGACTTTAACAGAAGAGTAATCACCCACCCACAAGATTCACCCACCTATCCGCTCCTGGTTCGTGTGATGAATGCCCGGAGCGTTAAACTTAGGCGTTACCAAATCACTTTCGCGCGTCACAAGGCTTTGGAATTTCAATTTTTAGACACTACCCCCTTTCCGTCTTCGAAAATCCCGCTGTTCCAAAAATTTCAAAAATTTTTTCGAAAAATCGATTTAATATCCTTCGATCCTTTTATGCGTGATATGTTTCGTTGCGAGAGTTTAATTCATTGCCTCGACCTTCGGGCGAGTTCGTAATTTGCTGCATGTTGTGTAGCCGATACGCATGCGCATAAATTAGACTGCATATATATATATGCACGTACACATCGTATAGCGCGTGTAATGGGCGCGCGCACTTGGAAGATGTCACACGCTCGCTACACACGCTTCCTCGATTTGGCACGATTCAAAATTTATTACCGCAATCATTTCGAGAAAAGTCTTTCCATCGTACGCTATGGTTATTGGGGGGGTCGATAAATTCGGGGACGCACGGTATTTACCGACGGTTAGAGAGAGGTTATCGGCTCTTATTTACTTCCTATAGCCGAGATTCTCTATCGGGCCGAAAACAACTGACAAAGGTGTGGTCTTCATTGCGACGCACGGTTAACCTATACGGGCAGAAAAAGAAAAGCAATGTACTCGATTTCGTTTATCTACGAAACACAAAAAGCGACATCCGTCTGTTTGCACTGGAAGATTATGAAATTCACCATCTCGGCTTGGCCGGTTATCCGTTGCGAAAGGATCGAAAAGATTCTACCACTTAATTGCATTTAAATGGTATTGCTGAACTGTTAATTAAGCGTGTTCCAATACTAGACGTTAATGAGTCGATTAATTTATTTTCATAGTTGATTCTTGGAATGCGGGTTGGTAATTACGTATATCGACGTTTTTACCATCAGTCGTGAAATTTCCATGCCACGAGAAGAAAGGAATCGAGAATATTGGAAAAAGCGTAGTACAAGTTCGAAAGGTTAAAATACAGTCGCTGCGAGTGGAGATTAATAAAAGGAAATGCTCGCGCTATCAGTTTTTTTAGCGGTCACGAGACTGCGATTATTACCACGGCACATTCGTTAACCGACGGGCCGTTCACCTTACCGTGCATCGTCGGTTTGAATATGTCAGACGATACGCGGCGCTGGTGGATGAACTCTGTATCATTTTGTCAGACGTGTCTGTGCAGGTTCTGACAAGTCAACGGCTGCGCGAACTTCGCGTCGCGACACGCTTCCCAACGGCCAGAGGGCGCGCTCGTTCCACTCGGATTTATCCTATCTAAATATCGTCTAACGACCAAGTAAATTTAAGCGAATTCCGAGCGCGATAAATTTGAACTAAATTTAAAGTGCATTTAAGGAGAAAACACAAAAACCGTTTTAGGAAAATTTCGCAGGTGTTAAACGTTTTTAAATGTCATTTTTATCGAGCTGGAACGAAATTACAGGGAATTATGCGCAACTCTACGAATTACATTTTTGTCGAGATAGTTAACCAGAATACATGCGTTGTTTCGCATTAACATGTTGCAACAGCAAAATGCATATATGCATGGTTTCTAGAAATAGCTGTATAGTCTACTCTCGATTCTAGTATCTACCGCATCGTGCATCGTTAATCTAATCGCGATGCAAGGTATGCAGAAACATTCGTCGATGCACTGCATCGTGTTTTTTCCGTAATGACATAAATATTGTCATAAATCAGCAACTTTTAATTTTACCAGTGACTAAACGTTTACGGTAAATGTTTAGTTGCTTGCCTGGCAAATTATCGCCGGGTAACTACATACTACTCGGTTCGTGTGCCTACTAAGCGAAATAAAAACATCGAGCACTAATAAGGCTTTAAGTCAATATGCATGCATACGTATCTGATACATATGCAACATTCATAGAACAAAAATTGTTTCACGATAAGATTCAGAATCATTGGCATGCATTTCCACGAAGATGGCATTTCAATTATCACGACGATTGACAAATGGCGATTTTAAAATTGATCGAATGACAAGGTCACGCGGGGCGCAGCGAACCATGGGAGGGACAAAGATAATAGAGAAGGTTAGCGATGGCCGAGAGAGTCAACCCTCGCAACACCCTCGCAACGAAATGTACAGAAATATTTTACGCAGATGTGCGACGCACTTTTTTTTCGATGTCGCCGTTGGTATGCAGCGCGTCTTCCGTTTTGCGATGCAGTTATTCCCTCTTTCTCTCGCTCTTCCCCGTCGTGTGCGACACCACAGACGAGAGTGAGCGAGAGAGAAAGAGCGTGAGGGAGTGCGAGAAAGAGAGAACATCAGCAACGCACACGGACGCATGCGTGCGCGCGACCGAACGTATTCGAGCAACACACACGGCCGCTCCTTCTATAAATAGATGCGTTTGCTGTTTTAATCTGCCCTGGGCCCGCGTTACGAGCGGACAAAGGGCGATATCGGCAACCAGAAAATCGTTGCGAAACGTGCCACGGTCGAATATCGGTTACAACGTTTTTTCGGCCGCGGAAAAACTGTAGGTTAGGAGGAGTGCGAAACGTTAGAGAGACGCACGACGAAGCGGGGAACCAATGCGAATCTC